GAAGAAAGGTTAGAAAAGACTAGAAAATTGTCAGGGCTCCAGCTCACTGGATCTTGAATCTTGAATCTTAGCTGGACCTTAGGCAGCAGATGTCTGTCATTGGCCATTGTGGCTGAGGTGCATATACCTTGTGCATATGTGTGTGTACCTGAGTGCATATACCTTGAAGCAGTGGGCTGAGATATGTAAACAAGATGAGAAGCGCATGATGGTGGGGCCATGGGTCCAAATAGAGGGACGAGCTCAGATGGCAGACAATGGTGTGTCTGTGAGGGAAGGAAGCACCTCTAACCTGACAGCCAGACAGAGCCAGGGATGAGTCTTGTCTTCATGAACTATACAGTACAGAATAACCTCCAGCCTCTGGCGCTGGATCAGTCATACACCTTGACCCTGAAGCCAGAGCTTCCTTCATTGCCCTACTTAGCCCTTGTAACCCGCTTCCAACGTAAGAGACCTGAAGCATTGCTGATGAGAGGCTAACACCCTCTAGGATCCCCTCCGTGGATCCGGTTCCTTGTAAGCAAATGCTTTGCAGAAAATGGACCAGTTTCCTAAAATGTGCTCTGCTCTATTCTATGGCCCTCTCCCTGGAGTCTGCTGGTGCCCTGAGACACCAAGAGTCGATCTGCTGCTAATGATGCTTGCCTGTACAGTGTTCGAACTTGCTCACCCCTTGGAAGTTACTCTGGGAGACCTCCAAAGCCAGTTCTTTTTTCAATGCTTTTAAGAAAGAAGAAAGTTTATTAAGCAATGGTTTATGTGATTTTCAGCTGCTGAAATATTTCAATGACATAATAAATACTTGAAATTATTAGATGACTAAATGGTTAATGAATTTTAAAAATCCATCTGCTTGATTGAACAACAGCACTTGAGAGATCCCTTGATACCATGATGAAACTTTATTCATAATACCATGTTTTGCTTAACCTCAGTGTTCTGAACCTCATACTGTTATTCATGTTATTACAATTTTGTGAGATTTGGGATCAGCCCTCTGGCTATGAGTCTTCTCTCTTATCTAAATGTAGTTGCTAATCAAGTATGCTCCTTTTCCCTCTAAAATGTATCACTTATGTGATTTAAATTTGCCATTGCAAAATGGTTCTCATCTAGGATATTACAGCTGCATGTTAAAATTATCTAGTTATAAAACTACTCTCATACAAATATTGCAACTAGATATGTTAGACTTATGCCTATACTGCCTGAAGTTTCAAAGGCAAAATTACACACCATAGAGATTCTTACTGCCATTTATTTCAAGAAAGGTTTCCTTACATGCTAGTAGAAACAGACCTCTCTTAGGTAGAAGAGTAAATAATGTAAGATACATAGGATATGAAGGCAGAACTGTCCCTGGGAGACAAGGGAGTCCCTGATGGCTGGCTTGGTCCCAGTAGTCTTGACAAGCCTTCCTTAGACACTGAAGCAGCCTGGAGAGTTTCTTCCCCAACTTTCTGTCCATCTTCCTTCTGCCTCAGCTCTCTCAGCCCTATTCAACTCCTGCCTCACTCTTTTTCACAGGTGTTTCCTCTAATAGGATCCATATTTGACTGGATTCCATTTTGGTGCCTGCTTCTCTGAGTACCCAGACTAACACACATGTAATGAATAAAAGTTTTCATGTCTACCCGGCTTAAATCCATATTATATTTCATCACCCTTTCTCTTTCTCGCTCTAATAATATGTTTTTGCATGCATGCTAAGTCACTTGAATCATGTACAACTCTGTGTGACCCTATGGACTGTAGCCCGCCAGTCTCCTCTGTCCATGAGATTTTCCAGGCAAGACTACTGGAGTGGGTTGCTATGCTCTCCTCCAGGGGATCTTCCCAACCCAGGGATGGAACCTGAATCTTGTCTATCTCCTGCATTGGCAGGTAGGTTCTTTCTCACTAGAGCTACCTGGGAAGGCCTAATATGCTTACAGTATTTTCTAATTATAAAAGCAACACATGTTCATTAGACAGAGTACAAGAAAGCATTTATGGCTTGTACTCTTCTGTGCCACATTTTTTTTCCTGGTTCTGAGAACTCAGTAACAGTAGAAAATTATTTGTGTCATGAAAATCTGTCCTCCCCTCATGCCTGGGGACCCACATTCAGAAGTCCATTCTCACAAGTTATTGACAAAATAAACTAGTCATTCATCGCCCAGCAGCCTGGAGTGTGGAGAATGTTGTCAGTTGAGGGCTCACAGATGAAAAGAGACATTGAGTTTGCAGCTCAAATTTACGTTATAAGAAAGTGAAGACAATCTTAGTGAGGAGCTGGAAAATCACTTTAATACCCCTATGGGCCAAACATTCTGCAGGATAACTGACAATAGGATCAAGAACTTTCCTGGCTGGGCATACTCCTCGGCCCAGCAATGCCCCTTAAATGAACTTATCCCCCAGGACTAATTAAGGATGTGCACAGATATTAGCTATCAAGCTGTTTGAGTTATTCAGTACATTCAGTTAAGAGTCAACTTAAATCTCTAATAACATGAAGGTCTAAGTGATGCTCACCATGGAATACCTCATGGCCATTATAAAAAAGCTGGCCTGGGTTTTAGTGATGTGAGAGCTAATTCAAATAAAGGGCTGAGTGAAGAAGGCAAGTTATGAAACAGTATAATCTGTATAATAGGTTTTGGTTTTTATCATATAAATGCATAGAGGGAGACTGCAAACTGTGAGAAGAGTGACTGTCAGGAAGTGGAAATTTGGACACAGACCTACCCATAGGAACACTGTGTGACTACCAAGGCACAGATAGGAGTTATCCTGCCTCAAGCCAAGGAATGCTCAGGACTGCTGGCAACATGCAGAAGCTACAGAAAAGGATTTGGTAACCAAACTGATGGATTTGGAAGGAATTGGGAGTTTTCTGAAGGAAGTAGCTTCATCAAGGGGACAAGGTGGTGGAGTCGAGGGACCCTGGGCTTGCCTCTTCTCATGAGCACACCCAAACTGCAACTAACTACCAAACAATCATCAATAACAAAGACTGGAGCCTACCAAAAATGATATTCTTTATCCAAAGAGAAAAACCCAGCAAGATGCAGGAAGGGTGCACTGTTATATAATGAAACTCCATCCCTGCAGGTGAGTGATTTATCTCTCATAAGTATTTAGGTGGAAAAAATATTTTAAGGGAGAAAAATTTGTGGCTCTCACACAAAAGCCACTTTCACACTTGTTATATTACTCTCAATGTGGGCTGATGTTCATTTTCAACTTTTTGTAACAAATACGCAGTGATTATCAATTAATCAAAGTAATTAATGTACCTAATTAAGTTGTGATATGCAGTATATGATTTCAGTTAAATATTCAAAGGAAACAGTGTTTAAATTTGTCAAGTCATTTCCAAACTCTCATTACATTGTTTTGCACTTAAAAAAAGTTTTGCAGGAAGTTTTTTCATTTCCACTGGGAGTTCTAACTCCCCTCCCCACCCTCCAAATTCCTACTATGCTAAGGAGGTAATCTACAGTATCAATGCCTTTTCATGGACTTTCCTAGATTTCTTTAGATGCTATCCTAAATACCTGTCTGGTTTTCCTTAAGGGCCAGAGTGGTTTGGTTTTTAGACAGAAACACACACGGAGTGTTTTACTGATACCTCTGTGTGGGTGTTTGTGTTGGATTCCTTCAGCTCTGTTGCTGCGGGGTAGCAGGATGCAGGTGAAATTACATTTTCAGGAGGAGATGGGTGTCTGTGCCAGCACTCTCATTAACCCTATTTCTTCACTCTGCCCTGGTTTACCCACACACCTCACCTCTGTGTCCCAAAGCCTACAGAGATAAAATTAAATTATCTGTTTAATCATTGTGTGTGAATGCAACATGTAACTTACCCCTTCTCTGAGAAGCAGCAACAATGTACATCTAAAGGAGATTTTACTCTTAAGCTTGCAGTTTGTTCTTCTATATCCTTGAGTGGTGGATGGACAAGTGACTGCAACTGTCTTTTCCAAATGCAGAGCTGGTGTGTGGCAAGGGTGCCACAGCAGGCTGAAAACCAGGGGCTTTGGATCCTGACCCTCCTACCTCAGGCCCAAGGCACCCTTGGGGGCACCAGCAATCAGCAGAGAGGCTGGGCATCAAGATACTTGGGATGTCCTGGGAAGTGAGATGAGCATCACACCCACAGGTGTAAGATGCTTGGGGATGACTAATTGGTACCTGAATCACAGAGAAGAAACAAAGTGTTTCCAGTGCTGCTTAAAGGGGCTGGTAAGAAACACTGTGCATATGAAACAAGAGCATCTCCACTATGGCACGGTAACCAGAAAACAAGGATCCAGACTTTGTCTGTCTGCCTTTCCCTTTTATTCATTTAGCAATACTATTGTTTTAGTTTTTAGGGTTTCTAGCTGAAAACAGAGAAGAAAGCCTTCTTTGTAAAAACAAAAACCATAAAACCAGACTCATTCTGATTTTCCGTATCCTACTTTTCTAGAATGTTCAAAAATCCCCTTTGATACAAAAATTCTTCTGCAAACAGTACAGATCTTTGAAACATTCATTCCTCTTGCTTTCCTCTTTAGAAGCATTATATTTTCAATCACATTTTGAAAAACTGCTCACATCCTAACCACCAACTGAAATAAAACGTATTGTTAAAAAAAAAAAAAAAATTGGGTGTTTTGTTTGTAATATGGCATTTATTTCTCAATGCACATATTAGGTCAAATTGTAAGAACAAAAGCATCTTTGCCCTAGTGGAGCTCTCACAGAGTCTGCACACAGTTTACTCTCAATATGATAAGCTTATTTGACCAGCTTTCTTATACCTTCCATACCAAAGGGCATACTACCACTATGGTTTGTAGTGACTTAAAAAGAAAAATTGAAGCATATCATTAAGAAAAGTGCTGCAAGATGTGTCTATGAAGAGGACTGTGGTTGGTAAGGCGAGGGGTGTGTAGCCTTCTGCAGGCTGGCTGGGTGATGCCCGGCCTCACTCTGAGAGGAAGTCCCCATTTTGGAGAGCAGTTAGCTCACGCTCGTTTTGGGTTTGTGCTCTTCGGAGCACTCCTAGCCTTGATGTTCTTCTTGGGGATGGCCGGTTTGGGAGCAGCTGACTTCCCCTTGGGCTTCGGGGCGTTGCTGCGACTGGTGCGCCCTGCTGTCCGCTTCTTGTCCTGGGCTGTCCTCTGCTGCTCCTGCAGCCTCTCTTCCCACTGCTGGGAGGCAAGGTACACACATGCCCATCAAATATGTCTCACCTCTTCATGCTATTAAACTAATATCCAAAATAATGCGTATTTTCACTGTAATATACTCATCAAGGTATTCATGATTACCATAGCTACTCTACCCTGTGACGCTGAGCATGTATCCTGGAACAGGTGCTTTGGAAAGCACTGGATATATATGGTGATGTCTCGACATGCATTGATTTCATTGAAACAGCAGCCCTTCTAGGTAGACACCATTGTCATGACCGGGAAACCAGCATACTGATGTTATTTGCAGAGCCAACAAAGCCAGAACTGGGGATTCGAGTTTACCAGTCCGACTCCACGGCCGAAGGCCCTTTCTTGTTGTTCGGTTGCTCTGTCATGTCCAACTCTGTGACTCCATGGACTACAGCATGCCAGGTTTCTCTGTGCTTCACTATTTTCTGGAGTTTGCTCAGATGCATGTCCATTGAGTTGGTGATGCCATCCAACCATCTCATCCTCTGTCATCCCCTTCTCCTCCTGCGAAGGCCCTAATGTATGCAATTTTTCCCATAGGCCCTCTAATGCAACTTTCCTATACAGCCAGTCATTCTTAAAAGGCTTTGCCAAGGCTAAAAGCAGAAATGGATCCAGCCTCATTTGGAAGCTGGGATTTCTTACCACACTTATAGGTTCACCTAACTCTCTTACATCTGAAGGAAGATGGAAGCCCCGGAAGATGGAAGCCCCACCCACATTTAGTAATCCCCTCAAGTGTTAGCTACCCAGAGCTGATGAGAAATGCCATTCTAGACAAGATTCCATGATAGAAAAAGAATTTACTCTTTAAATATGAAAATGTCTAAGAAAAAAAATGAAAAAGAGTCTACTTGAATAAACGTCACTTTTCATTATAACACATGTGTCCCTACTTTATGTTAGAATATAAAAATTAGACTACAACCATAGGTCAGGCAGTAAAAATACAATGAAATGAAAAACACAGTCCCCACCCTCCTAGGGCACAACTCTAGTCCTAAAATAATAAACTTATTACTGTACATTGTTATACCATGGTGGTATTTACATACTCTTAATATTGTATTGGAGTATTTGCTGCCAAAGTGAATGACCCAGTTATGATTCTTGAAAGCTTTCTTTCCTCTCAACAATCTCGGTTTTCAAGGTGGACTTACCTTCTAGATTGATTCTTCTAATCTACTGCAGTCTTGGAAACTAGATAACCAACTCTGCTAGAATTTTCTGTTCAGTAAGACAAAGTGTGCTCCTGAGAAGCTCATGAGTGTTTAGCTTAGATGCAGCAGCAGTGTTTGGGCCTGTTATTTAGAAAAGGACTCAGTAGGAGAGGTTGTGTTGAAACTACCTTCTCCATGCATGCAAGCATGCTCAGTTGCTCAGTCATGTCCAACTCTTTTGTGACCCCATGGACTGTAGCCTGCCAGGTTCCTCTGTCCATGGGATTCTTCAGACAAGAATACTGGAGTGGGTTGCCATTTACTCCTCTAGGGGATCTTCCCAACCCAGGGATTGATCCCATGTCTCCTGCAGCTCCTGCATTGGCGGGCAGATTCTCTACCACTGAGCTACCTGGGAAGCCAACCGTCTCCATAAATGAGTATTAATATACATTCTCCCCTTGCTCAAGAATTTTCATTCCTGCAAACTAAGAGAACAAAGGCAGTTGCAGTATCTTTTCTGAACCAGGTAATACAAACTCTCCTGCATACATCTAAACATATTTTAAGGAAAAGGGATGCTTTTAAAATCCAAACCAATAACCTGATTTCTTTAGTTCTGGAATGATTTTACATCTCTGAGCAGAAAATTATTCTAACTCCTCTAACTAAATGACCAATTTTTCTATGATGTTACCATTAAATTATGGATTTGACCACAAAAGTATTACTTTTTGTATATGATTTATTTTGACAAAAGTCTTGAAATTATCTTAAATACAGGGAAAGAATCTTCTCTGTACAGTGACAGTGTGAATTTCAAAAGCAGACATTCACACCCATGTATGTCTGTATTGATACCACTGGATATTAATTCTGTTCAAGCACTTGACTGTCTGCTAAACAAACTAAATATAATACAATAAAGCAAGCAATAAATAAATTTAATCTGGAAATGTTAAAAACCAGTAGATCAGTATTGAATGCAACCAGATCACCTTTGAAACTAAAGAGAAATTTATGATAAAAACTCCAAATGAGAAAAGTTATTCTCTTAATTACTTATTCAAAAGACAAATACTGCTACTGTTGCTGGCTCCTATGATAGCCTACCTGGAGCTGGGTATGATAACCCATTCCAGTAGTCTTGCCTGGAGAATCCCCATGAACAGAGAAGCCTCACGGCCTACGGTCCATGGGGTCGCTGAGTCGGACACAACTGAGCAACTAAGCATACCACATGATAACCTAGAGATGAAAGAATGTGAAGAATTCCCAAATACATGCATTTAAATACACATTTATGAATTCCTAATTATACTTACTATGGATCTTTTACTGAGTTGGTCTCTCCATTTTTCAACTAAACAATTTTCAAGAAGCATCATCCTGAAAAAAGTAATTTATCTTAATAAGCAATGCTAATTATGAAAGTAAAAATTTCGAAAATATAAAATACAAAAAATTGTAAAAACCAAAATTCTTCAATAATCATTAGCCCCACAAATCCCCATTTATATTTTACTAATATTTTCTTTCAGTGTATTTATTTTACTAATATTTCATATTTTATTAGATCACACTGTACATTTAGATCATACTGTATATTTCCTTTCAGCATTGTATGCATTTTCTTATATACCTGAAAAATTAAAAAAATATAACTTTCCTAACTATATAAATTTAACAATGGATATCCATAATATATTTAACTATTTCTCTATGGTTGAACCTCCCTTTTGCTTAGCTATTATCATCAGCATTGAACTGAATATCACTAGTGTGCACTGGCTAATTATTTCCTTAAGACAGATTTCTGAAAGTGGAAATCTGGGGTTGAAGACTATGTATTTTTTTCTCAAGGTTTTCAGTGCATAGTGCTAAATTATTTTTAAAATGGTTGAACTGTCATTTAATTCACCAACATTAAGACTATGTAAGAATGGAATCTTGCTTTTATTTGGGTTGGAAAATTAAGGAGGTAAATATTTTAATGTTAATTTACTATTTGTACTTCTTTTAGAACTTTGTATAGACTTTGTACATGCATTTCTATATTGTAGTCAATGTTTTAAATAATTGACTTATATGTAAATTTATAGACTTACTTTTTATAGAGTAAGATCACTATCTTTTGTTTTACCCATTGCAATAATTATTTTTGTCTTTCTCATTCTAAAACAAATTATTTTTTTGGTTCCCTGGCATACAGAATCCTAGTTTCCAGACCAGGGATTGAACCCACGCCTCTTGCAGTGGAAGTCTGGAGTCTTAACCACTGGACTTTTAGGGAAGTCCATGTCTTTCTCTTTTTATTTTTTATTTTAATATGCACAATATTGTCATCAGATATGTGCACTGACATTTTTCCTCATAATTTCTTACATTACTTTTATGTTTACAGACTACTTTATTTTTCAGATAGTACACATTTATTTACTAAACTTTATCCTTTTTGATTAAGTTTTTAAAATATTTACTTTTTTACCCCATTTGAAATTGATCAAGTACAAAGTGAAAATACATACTATTTTCCCAAGTAAAGCTCTTCGCAACATTTACTAAACAACAGTTTAATTTCTATTGATTTGCCACATCTCTTTCATAATAGAAGTTCTTGCATGCATTATAATCTGTTACAAGATTTTCTTCTCTGCTTTATTTATCTACATGTCTACTGTTGCACCACATGACTTGAACAAGTGTAGCTTTATACTAGCTTTGCTCATGACATAAGGCACATTTTCTCTCATCCTTCAATTTGCAAAATCTCCTTTACATGTCCTTACCACTTTATTGTTCCAAATGATCATTAGCATTACTTGTGAAGACATAAATCTCAATCATCCAAAAGATGTTGACTAGGATTTTTTTATCAGAATTACACTATCTATAATCTGTGGGGAAAATGACACAAAGGCTGTTATTTAAATCTAAATTTAAAAAAGGCTGTTATTTAAATCTATTCACCTGTTCAGCAATCCGGCACATCCTCAGATCTGCTTCTAGTACTGGAGCATATATATACGCGTCATAGAAGAGACGAGCCCAGAAACAGTCATTCAGAGTTCATTCATTCAGTGTCTTTAGAAAGACAAGGTATAAGCAGTAAAGCAGCTTTAAAGCCAAGAGCACAAGGAAGTGTGAAGAGGGTACTAAGTACTGATAGACTGAAGAATAAGAAAGTATTCAAGTGAAGTCAGTATCAAAAAGTGTTTCTTTGGAGACATAGAATCTTGAGATGTATCCAGAAGGAACAGGAACATTATTAATGGGAGAGAATCAAAAGGAAGACTTTTTAAATAAAAATGAGCAGTTCTGCTGGAGAAATGAAGTGAAGCAAGTTATGGGGCTCTTTCTGGAACCTCTGCTGAAGTGTTTGATTTTTATATTTTAAGGACTTCTTATGTTGTAAGGACATATATAAAAATATGTTATGGTAAGATAACTGAGGAGACACACTCCCAGCTGGAGAGATGTATAATACATGTGTGTGAGTGTGTATATGTGTTTATATAGTACTCTAGTAAACAAATGTAAACTAAGTGTGGAACTGTGTTTCAAATGGCCATCTTTTCTTGATTAGTAATTTATTTAAAAGGTCTTAAAAATTCAGTATTTGCTACAATAAGATTAATTTGAAAAGAACTAGTTTTACTCAATTTATTTGCTTTTAAGTTTCTGAAATCAGGTAATAAATTCTGAAATTGATTTTTAATGAGTTCATTGAAATACTCATATTTTTCATTTTTCCTTAATTCTATGAAGAATTAACTGATGTTTAGGATATATGATATCCCAATCAAACCATCTACTAAAACTGATTTTTTTTTAAAAAAGCTAGTGCTGTTCTTTTTTAAACAAACAAACTAGGACTTCTAAGTGGGATTCATGGTTTCCCTAAGCTGTGTGCAGTTTTTTTCTGCCCCACTGTGCCTACCGTGAGCGCCACTCGTAACACATGATGAGAACATCTTGATGAGGCAGGATGTGTGGACACTGGCAGGAAGAATTTGTAATAAGAGGGACTTGAGTCCGAGGGATGGGTGATGAGGACTTGAAGATCTCTTTCACGTCCACCACTGTCGTTACTTCATTACAGCCACTCCTCTGCACGGCTTTTATTTTTGCATGAATGACTGCAATTGAAAAATCGATTTAAGTGTTGCCGAAGCTTTGGAGAGAAATATGGATGGTGTATTCCTGCCAACTCTGAGCCTCTCTTAAAGAATCACTCCTGTAATTATGGTCATGTCCAAGCTGCCCGAATGCAGGCAAAAAAGCCCACACAATCATATGCTAAATGTAAGGCCTCCCATATTGTCAACAATGTCTTAAAAGTTCTGAATCATGCTGCAAAATGGAAAAGGAAATTCACAAGCGGGCTTACTCTGGAATCTGTCTTTGGGTCAGTGACTGGTCCACACTGGGCTACAGATAAGAGTTTCAATACAGAATCCCATGGATCCTTCTCAGCCCTAAAATTCTATGATGAGGCTTTTTTTGTGGGCGGGGGGACGGCGGGGAACATCAGGAAATTTAGTTACATAGAAGGTTGACTAAATTTTGTAGAAATAATACTGTCTTGTCTTTCTAGTCTGTCCTGTAATGATTTGAAGTGAGAATCATATATTCTCAGATTCAGAAGGCACCTGAAAATTTGTGTGGTTCAATCACCCATCAGCTGCTTGAACTGTTCCAGAGAAAGTTGTTACAGCCCTAACATTCTCATGCAGGAAGGAGTCTCTGAAGATGACTGTTCTCAATTCTTTAATTTCCCAAACTGCCAAAGCAGGGTCCGTGGTGGGCAGAGGTGGAACTGTTAACTACAGATGACTGGTAATGTTGCTACGTCTGATCATGCTTGCAGTTCTGACCTCCTTGGTCCCTTGCTATTACCACCTGCCATGGAGTTGTAATCAGCCTAGGATGGATCTGTCTTGGATTCCATGCTAGGAAGCTGGTTTATGAAGAAGCTAAATAATCTAAATAGAAAATAGTTTCATCATCAATGTGGTTACGAAGCAACGATGCCTCGAGAATAGCACAACAGTGAAACTCAGACTGGACAACTAAGTAACTAAGGCTGGACGGTGCCACACAAGGGACTAAGTGGATCAGATTAAGATGATATCTACATATAACAGGTTTAAAAAACAGTAAGAAGAAGCTACTAGAAAAGATAGTGTTTTGCTTTTTTTTTTTGGTTGAATTACCCATTTTGGCTATGTGTGGTTCTCAAATATGACAACCTAAATAAGAGGTTATTTTTTCAGACTTTTATAGTGCCATGATCTTCCTGCTTTTATGTGGGTTGTATAATACAAAGGTTCTTATGATATAAAATTTCAGTTTGAAATATGGAAAACTAAGTTACCAAATAAAACAAACATTTTTACCCAAATAGTTTCCACTATTTCAACAGAAATAATTTAAGAAAGGCACACAAAAAAAACATAAAATAGCCCAAAAAGATATTTTAAAGGAACACATTTTTAATTAAATTTACTTTCAAATGATACTAGAATTAAATTCACTGAAACATTCAAGATAGCATGAGTGACTTATTCTCTGAAGAAAGTGCCGACTGGGTGTTTCAAATAAGAGAAGAGAGCATTTAAACTATGCTAATACTTACAGCCATAGGTCTTGTGATTACATAATCCCACAATTTTTTAAAAAGTGTTTTTATAAGTAAAATGATACGTGTGCATGTCTTAATTCTTTGGTCTCTGGGCCTCAGGTCAAATCCACAGATCACTTACCCATCCTTTCCATAGCAGTGAAACTTTTTTTCCCATCCCCTCCCACCGCTGCCCTAAGGCCCTGTGGTAAAACCATGAGAGAAGTGAGGTGATGTCCTGGCTGACAGAACTTCTGGACAAATAGGACAATTAGGATCAGGATGTCACACTTGTAATCTGATTCACAGCACTGCCCTCACCCAGGTAATTTACTTTGTTTTTACTTGATTTACCCAGAAAAGCAAGATATATTCAGTTATTATTATGCCATCTAGGACCCACGTGACCGAGAGAAATGACCAACCGCTTTTTCACTGCATGACTAGCAGACCTGGCTGTGTCATGTGCCAAGTCCCCAAGCCAATGGATTCAGCAGATGATTTACCGTAACTGTAGTTTTTGCTCAGATACGTCGCCAGGGTTGGCTTCACCTTTTTGCACTTGCACCGGTCTAAAGAAGACAAAACAAAGACAGAATGTTGAAAGAAGGTTCAGAAGTCACTCTGGAGAAGAAAGAGATGGAGCCTTGAGGCTAAACGAACTTACCCGGGCTTAGGCGTTTACAGTCAATGTCAAGAGGCCTTTCCTGTACCATCATGTCTGGAGTGATGTCTATCCACTTAACGTCTGAGAAACACACAGGGACACATGGGTGTGGTCAGTGATTTGGCCTATTCACCCAGCTGGAGAAAGGAATCATCTGGAGACACACTAACACGGCAGCACACACACACAAATCCTAAATAGCAAAAATTATATGTGATCGTCAACTACTTCTTCCATATAGACTATTTGGGCTTCGGAAAGAAGACTTATGGCTGAGACTGCTTATCCAGAACAAACTGAAGTGAAGGCACATCCATTTAAATTGGTTGATACATACAGCCTACCTGGGTTTATCCAACATTTATCCAACCTGGATAAATTACATCATTCCCTCCTAAATCTATTTTAAATGTTGATTTTCCAAGTTGACAGTTTACACTAATCAAAATAACCAAAATAGTCCTCAATTCCCACCTCACATTTTGCAGAAACAGTCCAGAGCTACCCCCCCCAAAGAAGCATAACCCTGTATCATTTCTATAATTAAAGCAATAATTTTTTTTTTCTAAAACTGAATTAGAGAGGAGCTTCAATTTCCCCCCTTCACTTCACTTCTCCTCCTCCACGTTTTGGGCAAGGCTCTGAGGTATAACTTCAGAAACTACACTAAAGCAACACCATAATTTCTTTAAATGTGTAGCAACTTGAGTCAGGGATAAAAGGAGGCAAAAGTATTCTTAGGTTTTATTTCAAGAAGTGGATTTAAACCTGCCTTTTCTTCCTAGAAAAGCAGCAAAAAGACTAAAGAGAAAAGAAGGAAGCGGTGGTTGAGTTCGAGTTAACTAAGATGCCACAGACGCTGGCATTGGGTCAAAGACCATGAAACAGACATCACAGTTTTCCAGGGCAACTAAATTTATAAACTGTACTCCTGGTGGGAAGTGACAACTAGTACTGTTTTTTCAGAAAGAGCTTTCAAGAGCTAACGTTAAATGGAGAATCCTGGTGGGAGTGTTTTATTTACTAAACGATATATAAAAAGTGCTGAAAGCTGGTTCAGACCCAACTGTCACTGCTATTACTATTTTATTACTACAAAGAAAAAAGTCTAGTGTCACCTATCTAAGCAAAATCGCTCATCCCTCTTTATGGGGACATGGTGTTCTTTGGCTCCCGAAATTCCTGTGGAGAAAGCAGACTTTTCCAGAAGTCAAGTCACCAGCCCGTCCCACCTCCTCCAATTCGCCCAAGTAGAATGGGGGGCTGCCCGACCACCCACCGGCAGCTGTCGGTGTGTCTGTCGGGTTCTCACGTGGCAGTGACAGTCCAGAGTGCCTCCTCCTCACCCCCACCCCACCCCCGCCCACCTCGGCTCTTGCCCGAGTCTCACCGTCAGGGAGGTCAGTGACGATGGCCTCCGGCGAGATGCACACGCCCCGGTCGTAGACAGGCAGCTCATCGCAGGCCAGGCTCTCCGGCCAGCTGTGGTTGTACATCTTCATGAGGGGCTCGCAGTCGTCACGCGCGCGCTGGCACACCGACTTGCATGGCTTAATGGGGTCGTGCAGGAACTCCAGGGTGCAGATGGGCGCGTACATGGCACAGAGGAAGAAGCGCAGCACCGCGCTGCAGTTCACGTCCACCAGCTCCTCGTACTGCTCGATGGCCAGGATGGCGTTCTCCTGCGTGCTGTGGTGCAGGTGATTGGGCATCCGCGTGATGTTCCAGGGCATGTGTCGGCACATGGGGATGCGCACCGCCTCGCAGGGCGCGCCGCGCACGCCCAGCGCCAGGCGCAGCCACAGGCACAGGGCGGTCAGGATGGAGAGGAACATGGTACTGCCCTCCCGCGCCGCCACCCCAACAGACAGAATGGGTCCCCCCCTCCCTAGTCTTTCTCTCTCCCTTCCCGAAGGAAGAGGTCCTTTAGGGCACAGGGGATGTGCTCTCCCCAAACTCCCGTCGGCAGCAGTGCGCGGCCTCGGGGGCCGGCCCGGGTATCCGCAGTCCGGCGCGCGAGGCTCGAGCAGCGCCAGCCCTCAGCCGCCCCGGCGCGAACCCGCCCTGACAATTCCAGTCCCCGGCCCGGCAGCTCCGAGCGCAGCCAACCCCGGCCATTGCCGGACCTATTTATCCCGACACCTCCCCTGACGTGGGATCGGAACGCTCCCTTGGCAGCTGCAGGCCCGGCGCGGGCTCCCCCTCGGCCGCCCCACCCCCCAGGCCTCTCTTGCAGAAGCGGTGACATCATCTCCTCCGGGCTGCAACCCAGGGCTTGAATCCTGCATTCCCCCAAAGTCCCTCCTTTTTAGTCTGGCCAGTCCTTTTCCTTCAGACCAAGAAAAAGAGCCTCTGGCAGTCGTTTTGGACACCGAATCCAAGAAGGTGCAAGATACGATTTCAAGAGAGGGAAGGACCGTCTTTCGAATCAAAGCTGAACTTTGCGCCCTCTGCCTTTTGGGCTCCCCAACTGTGAAGTTGGAGGAAAATGGGAACTGCTGCTGCTCTTTACCTCTTAAACGTACTTGCTTTCTCCAGTAGGGGGCATGAGAAGCGCCGAGAGGTGAGAAGTGTGGGACCAGGAGAGTGCAGTTGGAACAGGATGGACACATTATATAAGCAAACCGCCCCCTCCCGGCCCTGAGTTGTATGGAATTTGTTTTTGTTATTACTGTCGTGGCTAGTAGACATTACTTTGGGCTCAGTTTTTTTCCAGAATGGCCTTTGATCTGTACCTGCTCCAGGAAAAGAACTGACCGAAGATGTCACAGCATCTTCCAGTTTGAGAAATGTCTTCCATCTAACATTTCTCCCTCTTTCTCCTATTCCTGTGCCTCTCTTCAACTTGAACGAAAGCTGAAAGCCAAGACGACTTTGATATCACAATCTGAAAGATTTTTTTCTTCCTTTATGCCAAGTGATTTCCAATCCAGCTGTCTAACATCTTGATTTACTTGGAAACTGTTATTTAAATGAAGTAAGAAGCTGTGTACCATGGAGATCAATGATGTATGTTTTGTTCTCTCTTTTATCTTATTTTTATTCGGAACAGGTAGTAGAATCCACTGCTGGCTCAGCTATCCCCAGAAAAGGGAGGCTTTATAGTGTTCCAAGTATACACTGATTTGCAAGCAGTAAGATTTTGGGTATATGATATTTTCTTAGGGCATTAGAATATGAAAGCATGTTATCTGAATGGTAATCTTCATGGTTTAGTTGGAAATCTGAACTTAAGGCAGACATTGTTTTTCTCTCCAAACCTTAGATCACAGAATTAGTTTAGTTTTGACTCTGATTAGGACTGAGGATTAAAATAGCCCAATAAAGGAAAAGCACAGCTGATGTTTACTGAGCATGTACAATGCGCTTGATGTGTAAATGCATTACCTTATTTATTTTTTCTGGGTACATGAATCAAACATGATTAGTTGAAAAGGTAAATGAGACAAACACATTTCAGGATTCACCCAAGGAGTCCAGTTTTATTTATGGGAAGCCCAGGGTAACCAAATACAGCAGGGCCCATCTAGAGAGGTATCTTTTTTCTGTGGAAAACCAAGCTTCAGATGCCAGTGTAGGCTAGTGAAATATCAAGCAAACAGGATAGCCCAGATGAGATCTCAAGCTGTTTTCAGTATTATATTGTAGTAGGTCTAAACCGTGGTTTAGTGAAAATGAGTTTCAGCCCAAGTTCCTAGCAGGGAAGAAGATACAGTTTTGAGAATGAACTGAGCTCCCTGCCCTTTTCCAAGGAATCAGCTGAGGGCAAACTTGGGGAGGACTCAAACTTCTACAGCCAGTTTGAACCTGCTGCATTAGTTTAGCTCTGCAAGTACCAAATCACGACATTTCAGGTATTTCCTTGATGTTCACAGATGGAATGTCCTTTAAGAAAGGGAGGGGAAGAGCTGAGAACCCTTCTCCATAAAGCTCCTTGCTTACCCGATTAGGTCTGTTGGTAGTTTGGCTTTAGGGTTCCTAGGAGAGGGTGGCAGCATTGAGGAGTTCATCTGGAGAATGTGACAACCAGCCTTCCTCTTCCTGCCTGGCTTTTAGCACTCAATCCATTACCCCATACTTGACACTGATTTGCCAAAATCTCATGTAACTGGGGAAACCCCCTGGTCAGTGGCTTCTCTCTGGTGCCTCCTCTTCAGTCTCCTCCAGGGCCTGCCTCTCTGCCCATCCTTTCAATGTCGGGAGTTCTCTAGGGCTCCATCCTCAGCCCTCTTCTCACTCTCTACACTCCCCACTGCTCCAGGTTGTCTCAATCTCAGCACTAGTGACAAAAGCGCTGGATAATTCTTTTTGGAGTGAGCCATGGGAGCTGGGGTGGGGAGGGTTGTCCTGAACATTGTGGGTAATTTAGTAGTGTCTTCGGTCTCCTCCCACTAGATGCCAGGGGGGGCTTGCCCCCTATCCCATTGTAATAATAAAAAATATCTCTAGATATTGCCACTGTCCCTTAGTAGACAAAATCACCATGAGTGGAAAACCACTCTTCTACTGTCCTTTCTGGGTTCAGTGACCACCCAAATGCCAATGGCTTCCAAGTCCAGACCCCTAGGCCTCCTGGACTTCGCAGATGGCCCTAGTAGTAAAGAACCTGCCTGCCTGTAGGAGACATAAGAGACTTGGGTTTGATCCCTGGGTCAGGAAGATCCTCTGGAGTAGGAAATCACAACCAACTCCAGTATTCTTGCCTGGAGAATCCCATGGACAGAGGAACCTGGCAGGCTGTAGTCCATAGGGTCGCATAGAGTCGGACATGCCTGAAGCAACTCAGCAGGCATGCATGCAAGCCTGCTGGTCTCTGCAAATGTTTATCCAATTGTCTCTCGGGTATTTCCATCTGTATGTCCCATAGTCATCACAAAATCAGCCAGTCCTAAACTGAATTTATCTTCTTTCACTCAGGACTGAACTTCCAGTGACCCAAACCACTCAGAGGAAGCGGTCTTCCTCCAAATCTATCCTTTTCTCTAGGCCGCAACTCTTCCATCCTCTGCATTGCTACTACCAAGGTGTTAACTCAAACAGTGGCTCTTGCCTAGATTGTGACAGCATCTTCCTCTTCCCCCTGCCCTCTGCCTTGCCCTGCCATTCTCCACACTGAACTGGGGGAGCTTCCTAAGACTTCTACCTGATGAGACTCTCCCTAGCTTTACATTTAGGCTTGGTTCCAAAACTTCAGAATTAATAATAAATCCTTAAAAGGATTTTCAAGGACCCGAGTGATCTGGCCTCAGATTACCATCTACCTCATACTTGAACCCCCAAATCACACTCATTTCCTCTTGCCCCACATCTGTCTCTCATCCAGGAATGCTCTCTCCCACGTTCACCTGCCTCACTCTTCCTCATCCTTGAAAAGCAGATCAGGTGAAAAGACTATATAAACTTTGAAAACAAGGTGTCTTTTTAAAAAATTTATTTATTTATTTTAATTGGAGGCTAATTACTTTACAATATTGTAGTGGTTTTTGCCATACATTGACATGAATCAGCCATGGGTGTACATGTGTTCCCCATCCTGAACCCCCCTCCCACCTCCCTCCCCATCCCATCCCTCAGGGTCTTCCCAGTGCACCAGCCCTGAGCACCCTGTCTCATGCATCGAACCTGGACTGGTAATCCATTTCACATATGATAATATACATGTTTCAATGCTATTCTCCCAAATCATCCCACCCTCGCCTTTTGTTTTTTAAACAGTTTGCTTTTTATCTTGATTCCATACTACATATGCTAACCTTACACAGACATAAACCCAATTAATGTTGTTCTTAGTGACCCTAAACTTCCAGACACACAGACGTGTAGGCCTGTGGTATTGTCAGGTGATGGGTGAGGTGATGGGTCTCACTGCAGATGTGGCCACCAGGCGTGTTCCTGAGTCCTCAGCCCAAGAGCAAAGGCATTGTGTCTAGTCTCACAGTGTCTAGGGTCTAGACTAGTCCCCATAGTGTCTAGTCCCACAGGCTCTCTACTGCCTGCCAAAGGGCCATAATGAATGACTGGTGTCATTTCTTCAGGAAGGGACCCTTTTTTACACTTTTAATTTGGAGTTAGCAGGTGGTAATTTTGATATGCTCAGCCATGGCCACAGGACTGGAAAAGGTGTTTTCATTCCCCTTCCAAAGAAAGGCAATGTCAAATAATGTTCAAACTACTTACTGAACAATTGCACTCATTTAACATGTTAGCAAGGTTATGCTCAAAATCCTTCAAGCTAGGCTTCAGTAGTAAGTGAACCCAGAACTTCCAGATGTACAGGCTGGATTTAGAAAAGACAGAGGAACCAGAGATCAAATTGGATCACAGAAAAAGCAAGACAACTCCAGAAAAACATCTACTGCTGCTTCATTGACTATGCTAAAACTTTGACTGTGTGGATCACAGCAAACTGTGAAAAATTCTTAAAGAGATGGGAATATCAGATCACTGTACCTGTCTCCTGAGAAGCCTGTATGCAGATCAAGAAGCAACAGTTAGAACTGGACATGGAACAATGGGCTGGTTCAAAATTGGGAAAGGAGTATGTTAAGGTTGTATATTGTCACCCTGCTTATTTAACTTATATGTAGAGTACATCATGTGAAATGCGGGACTGGATGAATCACAAGCTGGAATCAAGATTTCTAGAAGAAATATCAATAACCTCAGATATGCAGATGAGGAACTAAAGAGCCTCTTGTTGAAGGTGAAAGAGGAGAGTGAAAAAGCTAGCTTAAAACTCAACGTTCAAAAAACTAAGATCATGGCATCTGGGCCCATCACTTCATAGCAAATAGATGAGGAAAAAGTGGAAATAGTGACAGATTGTTTTCTTGGGCTCCAAAATCTCTGTGGACAGTGACTGCAGCTGTGAAATTAAAAGATGCTTGCTCCTTGGAAGAAAAGCTATGACAAACCTATTAACATATTTAAAAACAGAGACATCACTTTGCCAACAAAGATCCATATAGTCAAAGCTATAGTTTTTCCAGTAGTCGTGTTTGTGAGATATGAGAGCCGATAAAGACGGCTGAGGACTGACAAATTAATGCTTTTGAACTGTGGTGTTGGAGAAGACTCCTTGGGGTTTTTTTTTTCCATTTTTATAAATTTATTTATTTCTTTTGCTATTACAAATTTTTTTTTACAAATTTTTATTTATTTATTTTTAATTTTTTTTTAATATTGTAGTGGGTTTTGCCATACATTGACATGAATCAGCCATGGATTTACATGTGTTCCCCAACCTGATCCCCCCTCCCGCCTCCCTCTCCATCCCATCCCTCTGGGTCTTCCCAGTGCACCAGCCCTGAGTACTTGTCTCATGCATCCAACCTGGGCTGGTAATTTGTTTCACCCTTGATAGTATACTTGTTTCAGTGCTGTTCTCTCCGAACATCCCACCCTCGGCTTCTCCCACAGAGTCTAAAATCTGTTCTGTATATCTGTGTCTCTTTTTCTGTTTTGCATATAGGGTTATCGTTACCATCTTTTAAAATTCCATATATATGTGTTAGTATACTGTATTGGTCTTTATCTTTCTGGCTTACTTCACTCTGTATAATGGGCTCCAGTTTCATCCATCTCATTAGAACTGATTCAAATGAATTCTTTTTAATGGCTGAGTAATATTCCATAGTGTATATGTACCACAGCTTCCTTATCCATTTGTCTGCTGATGGGCATCTAGGTTGCTTCCATGTCCTGGCTATTATAAACAGTGCTGCGATGAACATTGGGTGCACGTGTCTCTTTCAGATCTGGTTTCCTTGTTGTGTATGCCCAGAAGTGGGATTGCTGGGTCATGTGGCAGTTCTATTTCCAGTTTTTTAAGGAATAGGAGAAGACTCTTGAGAGTCCCTTAGACTGCAAGGAGATCAAACCAGTCAATCCTAAAGAAAATCAACCCTAAATATTCATTGGAAGGATTGATGCTGTGGAGCTGAAGCTTCAATACTTCGGGCACCTGATGTGAAAAGCCGAATTTTTTGGAAGATACACTGTCTGGGAGAGATTGAGGGCAAGAGGAGAAAGGGGCTACAGAGGATGAGATGGTTGGATGGCATCACTGACTCAATGGACATATATTTGAGCAAACTCCAATGAAAGACAGGGAAGCCTGATGTGCTGCAGTCCATGAGGTTGCAAAGAGTTGGACATGACTTAGCGACTGAACAGCAACAAAAACAATTTGATAAAGGGACAGGGTTATGTGGGGCACAGCGAGTGCAGCGATCCAGCTTTCTTGATCCTGACTTTGAGTTTGTCCTCCAGTGTTGGTTATCTGCTGAATACTCAACTTAGCAGAAAAACGCTTTCCTTCTCACCCCACCACCCCATCCCCCTTAAAACGCGGACACCCTTCAGGATGCTAGTGGCACCACTGCCACTGCATTTCCTGTTGGCAGCAGAGAGCAAGTGAAAACAGCAGCGGCAGCGGGCAGCGGCCCAGGCAGAAACAGCTCCCACACGACTCACGGAAGCTCTCCCGTGGCCCATCCCGGTTCCCAGGCCTTGCGCGTCCTGATCCCAACAGCTGGAAAGGCCGCCGCCGAGACCTGCAGCTACTTGGCCAAGACCGCCCTCGGGCACAGTTGGAGAAAGCCCCGCGGAGTGCCTGGGCTGCTCAGCGCCCCCTTGGGCGCGGGCTGGCTCTGTGGGGACTGCGGCCGCGGCAGAAGGCGATGCCTGGGCGCGCTCCCCTCCGCGTGGCCCGAGGGTCCCTGGGCGCTTGGCTGCTGGGCAGCCTGTGGGTCTGCGCACTGGGCTGCCTCGGCGGCGTGGGGACGGCGGCGCCGGGGGCCGGGGGCTCCCTGGGGCCTCAGCGCCCTTGCCAGGTGCCGCAGCAGTGGGAGGGACGCCAGGTGCTGTACCGGCAGAGCACCGGGCGCTACAGTCGCGCCCTGCTCTCTTACGACGGGCTCAACCAGCGCGTGCGGGTGCTGGACGAGAGGAAGGCGCTGATCCCTTGCAAGAGGTACGCGGGGCGCGGGAAGTCGGGGCGGCCCGGGGAGGGCGAGGTCGAGGGAGCTGCGTCGGAGCGCGGGGTTTCCAGCAGCTCGCGTCGCCTTCCTCCAGTCAAAGACAAACTTCGCGGAGAGGATCTCTTGGGGACAGCAGAGTTGGGGGCTGGGTGTCGGGCTGGTCCACTGGGGGCGGCCTGCTGGCGGACACTCAGTGAGACCTCGCAGGGCGGTGGCCGGTGAAGAAAGGTGGCGCCCCCAGGCCCTGGTTCGCCCACATTCAAAGGCTGCTGAGTCAGCCTCCTGACTCCTGGTGCCCCCTTCAGCCTAGGGCGTGTCTTCTGCACTATCTCAGCTCTTTCAGGAGCCATCTGTGAGGGAGACACGCTGAATACATATTTTATACGAGGTTATTTTTTTTCTTTCTTTTTCATTTTAAAGGAACGTGACAACTCTACCAAAAGTGTGCGGGATCAGTTCAAGAACTGTCACGACAGTTGAAATTTTAGTCTACTCCCTTAAAATTTCCTTTAAGCAAGTTTTACATTCGGTGATCAAAAATCCTGTATGTCTGTATCTGTCTTATAGAACATGATCTCTTACCTGTTATTGCCATTTTAATAGTTGGCCCCTACCTATTTTTAATGGCTGCACAATATTCCACAGAGAGGTTATGCTACAATGCTTTTAACCACTGGTGTGATTATTCACCTTTCTGTGTCTGTTATGACAAAGGACACCCTTTTTCCTGAGACTGCAGTTTGTTCTGACCCCATTAAAACCTGATTTCTATTTTGGGATCGCCACCTGTCAGTTCCTTCTGCCTTATTCCTGTTTCTCTGTGTGTGTTACTCCAAGGGTTATGCGGGCCTCTCATATGGAGTTGGCATAATTAGGAGGTGCCATGTGAATGTCCATAGTTTAAGGCTCCAGTGGGCAGTAAAATGTGGGGAAAATTTGATATCATTTCACCTAGAAGTGTTTGTTGAAGTATTAGGCATCTTGAAGACAGTATGCAAATGCAAGAATTGTTCAAAGCACTATATTTGAGAAGGCAAAATAGTACATGATTGTAAACCGTGAGTGCTGAGGAGGCCTGGAGTAGCTGAGTCATCATGGGGTATTGGGAGTATCTTTTCTCTTTCAAGAAAATGAATGTTTTCTATTAAGTCTCGAATAACTTTGTAATAATAATAGCAAAATCCAGCACTGAGTACTTGTTATGTACCAGGCATGGTCCTGAAGATGTTCCACATACCGTGTTATTTAGTTTAAAAATCACAACCACTGGATAATGCAGCTTTTATGATCTCCATTTTACAAGCAGAGAAATCTGGGGTCAAGGGAGATTAGATAAGTTTCTCAGATCAAGAGCTAGGACTTCAGGAAGCTGAGTGGATTCTGACATCTATGATATACTGGGCTCTTGTTCGTTTGCTTATTCATTCAATCTGCATTTTTTTGTGTGTCAGTCATTTTGTATAATCAGAGTGGGTCCTGGGTTTCAGGGAGGTCATGGTCTGGGGGTGGAAAATATGAGGAAGAATTCCCATATAGTGGGGTAAGGGGTGAGCTGGACTTGAGAGCACCCTAGACAAGCACCTAACCTGGAGGTGCTTCCTGGAGGAGGTGAAACAGGAGCGAGTCCCAAAATCCCTGGACAGGGTGACCATTAGGGGGAAGCGGGTGTGGAGGGAAGACTGATCCAGGAGGATCCATCCAGGTGTATTCCGGAACATCCTGCTACAGGCAAGGCTGGGAATATTCCAAGAACTGCAGGCCAATCACTGTTAGACTGAAGCATGGAGTCTGGCAGGAGGTAGGGGATCCAGGGAAGGATATTTAAACAGTGGAATGCCATGGCTGGGTTTTTAAAAGAGCACTGAATGAATGGTTGAGAATAAAGAAGAACAAGAGAAGAAGCCAAAACATGACCTAGGAGATGTTTGTAGAGAGATCCAGGTGAAAGATGGGGTGTGGCATGATGGTGAGAAGTAGACACTTTTGAGAGATATTAAGGATACTGAAGAGGCTCATTGAAGGAGGTGCAGATGATTAGATGGTATGCTGCAGGGTGGTGGTGGGGGAAGTCAGATTTGGCTTATGAAATCTAACAGTGCTGACAGCATCGAGTAGATGCTGATGCTGTTCGCTGAGACGGGATTGGGCTTCTGAACTTCTGAAGAAGGGTCAAGTACTGCTCTCTCTCTGCATCATCCTGAAGCCTTGTAGAGTGGTGGCTTATGGATGAGGAGTCATGTCAAAGATATACTAGGATTGAGACAGACCTGGGACCTGGGACCCTATGCTGCAGTGCTCGCACATGGCATACTTCTCCTCCAGCAACAAAATACAAAGAAACTATATGGGACTAAAAATAACTGTGTGCATGCACAATTACAGTGAATTCTGGACAAAGGATACAAAGAGACCCAAAAACCCAATCGCCACATTTGAAAGAGCCTGGAGCAAAAGCAGCCTACTAAGTGCATTCCCCTGCACAAAACACCACTGATTAAGGGGTGGGCAAACCACCTAAGCCATCCCCCCTCCAGCCTGACTCCTGGATACACCCCTACCCTCATCCTGTGTAAGGAACAAGCTTGCTCCCCTTGGGGATCTGTTTGTTCTTATTCCCCTCGCCCCCTCCACTGCAGCAGTGGCCCCTATAAAGCCTTGCCTGAATTTCTTGTCTGGCCTCTGATCAGTTTCTATTGATTAAAAGAGGCCAAGAACCCTGATGGGTAACAGGATGGCCCAAAGCACACCGCTGACACAGCAGAGTGAGGCCAGGAGAAGGAAAGGAAGATAGGGTTCATCTCCCAACCTCCCAGAGGTAGGATTTTCATGATTTAAGGGATTAGGCTTTAGAGTCAGATAAATCTGCCTCTGAATTCCAATTTCTAATGCAGGTCTTTGGGTTACTAGATGGGAATGCTACTAATGCCTAATGTATTGCTTTGCTGTGGGGATGAAATGAGTTCAACTATGTACAGCACATAGTGCAATGTAGAAGGTGTGGACGCAATTGTCCCTCTGGCCACCACCATCTTCGCCACCCTGGTAAATTTACCATAGCCCAGAGACTTGCTGCCAGCCCCATGAGCTCAGAAACTTGACCTTGTGGCACCCTCCAGGGCCCTTTCTTTGGGAGCTGACTGAGAAGAAACAAGCTCAAGTGCGGCACTGTATATCTCAGTGAGTGCTGCAGCTGGCACGGGGGCCAGAATTCTCAAATCTGACTAGGTCATTCTCTCCCTGTAGGCAGAACTGTGGAGAGAGCCAAATTCTAATCAGGAGGCTGTGAGCAAAGAGTTGGAGCCAATTCATAGAGTCTAATGATTGCCTGCTTTAGGCTGGGCTGTGTGCTCAACGTTGAGCTTTCCTTGGTGCATAAGAGGCCAGCCCAGTGGATTCAGGCTAAGATTAATCAATGCATCATTTTCACTAGAGAAATTAGAAGCATAGAGGTCCCTGATCCTATGCTACCCCAACACTGCTGGTCCAGATACCCCTCACTCTGCACAGAGCCTGGGCGGGAATTGCTCAGGTTGTTTTAGCAACCTTTCTTCTTCCGTGACTCCATGATCAATTAATAGAGTCTTCAGATGTGTATATTATAGCCTCATTGAGGTCACAGCCAAATCTTGCTGGCCTGGAAGCTTTTTTGTCCCCATGTGGTGATTTCTTTCTTTCTTTACTTTTTAAATTGAAGTATAGTTGATTTACAATGTGTGGGTTTCTGGGTACAGAAAGGTGATTCAGTTTTACATATATATTCGTGTCCTTTTCACATTCTCTCCCATTATGGTTTATTACCAGATATTGACTATTGTTCCCTGTGTCCATGTGGTGACTTCTCACTTCTTTACACTTGCCCTGATCTGTCAAGTGTTAATCTCACAGTTTAGCTTTTAGAAGGAAATTTTATTCCTTTTCTTCCAATTTCTTGGCAAGGTTCTATCTTACAGTCCCATCTCTGGCCCTAAGTCAGACGCAGAAAAGAATGGTTAGTGCATTTTTAATGCAACAGATGCATTTTTAAGCTTTTAAATGTAGATTTGTTGGAACAAACTCTGAAACTTTTTCAGGTACTAGCAGTCTGGCCAAGAAACCAGATACGATTTGAAGAAAATATGGATGGGTTGTCTCTTCATATTTATTAGTAAGTTGAGAAGTAAGTTTTAGAATTGGATCAACTTCTTAAGATTTTTATTTTGCATCCAGATAGTTATGGAAAATCCCACTGATAGTTACTGTGGAATGACTAGGATTTTCCAGGCTTTCTTTTCCCTGAGATGATGGAAAAGATTAAATAACTTTACAAGCTTCAGATAAGACAAGCCTTAGCAGAGAATGGGAAATATTAGTAATTGATACTATTTTGTTTTCTGTTTCCAACTGTTTTTTCCGGTAAACTCACAAGTATTACATTTGGAAGACTGAAGGAAAGGCAAGATTATTTTGTATTTCAGTAACATAGTGAACTTTATGGGAGAAGCAGTGTAGATACTGAATGAATTTTGTTAGACTACCAGTAACTTACTGTTCCTATTTATAAAATGGTAGATTAGGAGTTGGAATTAATGAAGCTATTGATGCAAAGGGAGCAGAGTGGCACTGAGAGGATATGCACTGGTAAGTTAGAAATGTATCTTAGAGGGCTATTCAGCTACCAATCCCACATGTTTGAGGATTTCTTTGGTTTTGTTATTTTTTGGTTATTTTTTTGCTGAACGATGAAAAGAAAAGTATGTCTTAAATGGAGTGACAAGTATCCACTTTATCTTATACAAATTCTGATTAGTTCATCTCTGTCTCAGATTTTCCAGAGCATTCTACTTCTTGGAGAACAGAATATCATTTCTCTTCTCTATTCTTAGAGAAAACCACCTAGAGCAGTGGAGAGCATGTGGACATCCATTCAGACAGTCGTGGGATGCCAAACATGGCTTCTAATCCTGGCTTCACCCCCACAGTTCCTTTGCTTCTCGGAATATCAGTGCTTTTCATC